TCAGTTGGAACCACGATTTTTGATTCTAAGCCAGAAGACAGCCACTTCCATATCGTTTATCATTAGCGTGAACAGTCCATTTATGGAACAATTTTTTATTTTCTGTGCAAGAAAAGTTCGTGTCTTAAGTCTTCCGTTTACTTAATTTGCATAATTATGTTTCGGTTATTTTTTGATTAATTTTAGTATTCAGACATTTAAAAGTAATGAACGCTGTGTGAAAAATTTGGTTGTCGCTTCCATTCTTCGTGAATAGTTCAGAGAAGATTTGTTCCCGTTTCGTTTGCTGTCAGAAAATTCCTTAGACTTTAGTTCCCAAATTGTTCTTCGAGAGAAAGTTCCTTAGAAATGTTCCGCAAAGTATTGTTCGCATTTTGTTCTTGGGAACAAAACTACGAGAATGACCGATCATACCTTTTGTTATCCCTTCGATCGCTTAGAAATGCAACAATTCGGTTATCTCAATGATACGACATCAAATCTTCAGCTACACATTACCTGCTCGCTTACATTGCAATGCATTTTTTCGTTCAGTCATAGTCTCTAATCTTCTCATGGTAGAAAAGGTAATAATGAGCAGCAGTATATTTACACGCATCTTCAAAAGTCTACCCTAATGAAATTATGAGGCTCCTATCAAATCTGTGGCACCCAAGAAAATGGAAACTTCTTTTATGAGCCTAAAAGGTGTAACTCATATAAAGCCATTATTTCTACTATTTAAACCTGCTGGATTTTTTTGAACAAAACAAATTCACGTTAATATTGAAAAAGTTACTACCATAAACAATACTTTTTAAGGATCCTTGAAGCATTCATGTTAATCTCATTATGAGTACAACGCTATACAGTATACAAGCCTATACACTAGAGGCACACATTAAACTGAGCCGTTCCGGCTGCTATTCTTCTATTCACCTGCATCTACCAAACACCTGCTCCGTAAAATTGCAATTTCATTTATTTAAAGTACAATTAGTGTGGCAAAGTGTGCTAGCTATGCATACCTAAGTATACATATAGTACATACATATGTATGTAAGTACATAGACAATAACAAAAGTTAGCGTAGGTAGTTGGTAGCAAAGAATGACCGTAGATTGCTTGTTTGACTTCATTGTGCATTGTTGAATTTTGAAAAAGGTACGAATTTATTAAGTATGAAAAATTGCATACCCAATCCCTGTGGAGTAATTTAAAAAATTTTCATAGCAAATAAAAACAAGTTGATATACAATGAAAAGTTTACACTTGCTATATATGTAGTAATATCTATGTATGTACATTAGGGTGCGTTGAAAATCTTGTATTTTTATTGTCAATAGAAAAAATATGGTTCATTCCATGATAAAAACATAACAAGGTAAAACCATTGAGAGGCAGTCTGACGTTTGCCAACAATATAATTTTAAAATCAAAACTCAAACTCACACACACATTCTCATTTTCAATCTCAAACAACAACAATTGTGAACAATTTAATTTTTTTATTTTCAATTTTATATGATTTTAAAATGTTGGCAAACGTCAGAAAAAAATCATGGCCGACGAAATGAGAGAAAGAATTTACCTTGTAATATTTTTATAATGGTTCATTCTGCTCTAAACAAAATCTTTGGTAAAGCTAGAAATTTTCGTGCAATATCTTAGGCGCGCCCAAATCAATCAAAGCTGAAAGTGTTCAACAAATTTTTTTTTCTTAGCTTACTTCGATAGCAAATTTAATTCTCTACAAACAGGACTAATAGTTAGGGGATAATTACAATTTTAGTAAAAAAAATTTAGGTTTAGTATAATATTTATGGGTGAGAAACTATCAATAAGTTGCCCATTTCAAAGGTAATTTAATTTCCTACAAAAATGTACCTTTATGAAATTATTTGCGATTAACATTATCATGACTTAAAAGTTCAATTCCTCACAAAAAATAATTATTTTGCTAATAAATGTTGTTTTGGTAGAGAATTAAGTTTGCGATCGAAGTATGTGAAGAAAAAAATTGTTTGAACACATGAAACTTTGACTGACGTGCGTGAGCCTAATGGTCTGATTATGCATACTTCGCATAACTTCGCACAACTTCGCATAAACTTCAAACTGTAATTTCGTATATACTTTGTATGTATTTTGTATGTATTCCATCGCCCAGAAATTAGCAGAACTTTTAAAAACTTAGCGATCTGTTGAGTTTAGATTTTGCTTCACATTTTCTTAAGTCACACTTTTAGTGCATTGGTACAAATGGTTGTGCGAAGTTATGCGAAGTATGCATAATCAGACCCTAAGCTATTGACCACAAATTTTCATCTTTCGCAAAGATTTTTTTTGCTATTGCCAATAAAAATTCGAATTCGTATTTTCGGTCGTCCCTAATGCACGTAAATATGAATGTAGATTTGTTAAAAGTATTTACTAAATTTAGTTGAAGAAGGCAACAACTAAATAGCACTGAGCCCAGACAGGTACGACGCTAATGACGAAAATAAACACCTGAAACTGTAAGCCAGGCAAGCAACAAGCCAAGCAAAACGTTGAGCACACTTGGTGGCAAAGCGAAGAGGATTGTTAGTGCGAGGAATGGTGCAGTGACGGGCAATTCTATGAGAGGAACCTGTTTGCGCACCTACAACTGAGAACAGTCAACGCCACACTCACAGAAAATGCGGCTATGTGCGAATGTATCACGAAAGTAATTGAATGCTAACGCCGTTAGTGCTTGCTAAGTAACAGATCTTTGTTTGCTTGGGAATGGTTTGGAGTCTATAAACAAGTTAAATATAGTGTGTGTGCATAGGTACGGAGAGTAGGTACCCTGCAGTAAAATTTAGAGACAGTCTCTTAAAGCGCTAGTTCTGCCCTACACATTTCAGAACCATCTCTGAAGTAGTGCAAAACGGCTGCAGAGAGGGACAGTTGAAACTCTCGGTGTGTTAGTTGCGCTCTGTTGAGAAGTAAATGCATAAATTCTCACTTCTCGTACAATACGAAAATAGCTCAGCGGGAGGACCTCTGACTCTAATATCGTTGGTCACGAGTTCAAATCGCGGTGGAGGAAGTTGTGATTTTCAGATTAAAGAAATTTAAATTGTTGAGTGCCGCTTAAATATTGAAGAGAAAGTGATCAAATAATATAAAAAAAAATATATAAAAAAATATAAAAATTTAATAGAATGCAAAATCTGTAAAAGAACAGAAAAAACGAAAAAATAAAATACTTATTGTCGCATATCTGTCGCATATCTAATAAAATACTTATTGTCGCATATCTGTCGCATATCTGTCTAAAATGGAGCCAGTTTAGAATAGAAAAATAATCTAATAATCGAGTTTTAAAATTTTTTCTCATAGAAAAACGTACTGTCCCAGAACTGTTCAAAATGGAACCAGTTTAGAACTAGTTCGAAAGTTCTGCGAGGGGGGCAATTTCCACTTCGTAGGACATCGCCATGTAAAAAGAGACAGTTGAAAGTATTGCGTTGGGATAGACCGAGAACCAGTACCGGCTCTTAAAGAGCTGGTTCTGCGCTAGTCCTGAACTAGCGCGATTTACTGCAGGGTAAATACATATGTATGTATGTAGGTGTATGTATTAGAAAAAGGGAATTTAGTGTAAATTAAATTATATATTTTCTGATATTTGCAATTAACTCTAAATGCGCACACTTTACGTAATATGTATAGGCTTGGCTAGGAAATTACTAAATATAAGTTAAGTCGTAATTAAATTTTAGCTCACGTGATACGAGTAACACGTTCATACCACCACATTTCCAGCGAAAGTCATTGCAACGTCACAGGAAAAAATTCTTAAGCTTGCGAAAGTGTACATTTTTGATGCATATGTACGTACATATGTATGCCCATACAGGTGCCTTTCTGGCCCAGAATTAAAGATGCAAATTATTACTTGTCTCATTTTTTATTTAGAGTTGCTCCCGACAGAATCAAGTTTTGAAAAACGGACAACACTCTTCTTTAGATACAGATTTTAAACTGAGCCGATTTTTTTTTAAGTCCTTTTTTGGGACAGACTTGCGGTCGCTGAACCTGAATTTAATATTCCTTTGTTTTTCCAAGAAGGCTTTCGAGATTACTACCAATAACTTCGAAAATGCCGTGAAAACAGCATTTTTGGCGATATCTAAGAGGACGTCCTTTGGAAAAATAAATGAGCGTCAAATTCAGGGTCAGCGACCGCAAGTCAGATCAAAAACACCGTTTTAAAAAAATTCTGCTTTGTTTATTAAAAATCTGTAGTAGAGTTTTGTCCGTTTTTTTTTCAAAACTTGACTCCCTCCGAACAAACGATGAGGCAAATACTATTTCTCCAGGTATTCCAAAGCAAGTTTCAAAAAAAAAATTATTTCTACACCACCTTAATGTACATATGTATGTACGTATATACGACGCGGCATGCTTCTCCCAAAATGCACAGTTTTAATTTATTTAATGTCCACAAACACGCGAGCCTAACCAAAGTGGGACAGTTCCACGCCTTAGTTTTTTTTCTCACTCAAAGAGGACACTGACCACATCGTTTGTTGCAAAAAAAAAAAACACGTACTGTAAGTTAAATATAAAATCATAAGCTGTTTACTAATAATGGTTACTCATATCACATACATAGAATTTACTTGATCGTCGACCATAAGCAAAAAAAAAAGGCAACTGCGACGCCCTAAACTTTAATTAATGCTATCGCACAACCACAATTTCTCGCAACAATGACATTAAGTAAATTCATACAAAAGTGAGTCAGACAGACTTCATTCATATCGCGCTTAGCTTTGAAATGCATTACTAATAAGCTTCGCTTAAGTTTCTTCCAGCACATCTTACTCAAACAAGATATTTAGCTTGCGTTTTTGCGCTTATCTTTTCTAGAACTTTAAAAGTATTCTTCCCAGCTTGGCACCAAGCAAATGCGCAAATTTCTCTAACATTTTAAAAATTGTTTTTTTTTTCTTCTTCTTAATTGTAAACTTGTGAATTTAACATACCTGTTGGCAAGATGGCGTTGTTCTCACGTCGCCAAGAAATTGTTGGCGTCGGATAGCCGCTGGCATAGCATTCCATCTGCACCTCACTGCCCTCACTCGCCACCACCGATTGCGTTGAATTGTCGGAGATGACGGGCGGACGACGTACCGATAGCTTTACGTTGGCGCTAACTTTATGCACAACGGAAATGACCACCTGACAGGTGTAGGTACCTGCATCAGTCTCCTGTATGTCCTTAATTTGCAGCTTGTATGTGGAAGAATTGGGATCGTGACGTAGCGAGAAACGTGAATCTTTAATCACTAACGTTGAACCGGTGGATAGGAAGACAGCATCAGTATCAGTCTTTGACCATAGAACCTGATAATCACTGGCGTACTGTACCGAACAATCGAATTCGACTGTGCCACCAATATCCTTAATTTGTTCTTGTGTAATGTACGAAATTGTTGGAGTACGTTGCGCTTGCGCACTGCCCGCCATAAGCGTCCACAAGCAGACAACAATGGCGACAGCAACGGAGGTGGAAGAGGACATTGTGTTGGCCATGAAGTTGGCTGTTGATCTTTTTTGCGACAATAAGCACATAGTTAATGTATGTATGTATGTGTGCACAAACTAGTTAATCAGTAACGTTGATTATTCACGCGAATTTCCTTTAGAAATTTTTTAATTTTTACTACTTAATGGAATTTTCTGTACCACACCCTAAATAGCTTAGTGATTATATTATATGTACCTATATATTGCAATATAGCTTATTGTATGTTGAACAATAAACTTTTAAAGACTACTAGCTGGCCGATTGGCTTACTTGCTGCTTCTTTCTGCCCGTATACACTTTAACTGTTGCTGGTCTGTCTGTGAGAATTCTGAGTCAGGTTTGGCGATCACTTTGCATCCATTCGAATTAAACCCGAAGAGCGAAAGCACATAAAGCGTAAAATGTATAAAATTGCTCAGCACAATCGTAGCTCGACTTTTACACACGCACACACACACACACAGTTGGGCTGCCTAGGTTGTAGGTGTCTCTCTTCGTTTTCACGTTTGGATGCTGATGAATTTCACCTTAATTTCAAACCACAGCTTTATTGGGGCTACCACAAAATATTACACTAGAAATTTTTATTTAGGCTCTTGTTTATTGCTCTTTTCTTTTATCTTGGTTGACTTGCTTCGTTGCTTTTAAAACGCATATAAATGCATGCACTCAGACCTCTATGTTAACGTTTTACTTTAAGCCCAGTTTAGTCTTGCCAATTAGGTACTACCTCCAATAACACACTCCTCTGAAACACTCCGTTCACTTTTCACGTATGTCCACAAGCGATGACTGTTGCACAGCGAATGAGTGGCATAAACAAGATACAACATAGCCGTAGATACATTACTTGGCGCTCGACCGCTTGCGGTGGTGTGCTCGTTCTTTTGTTCGTTAACTTTTCAAATATTACACCAATAAAGATGGCGCAGAGCACAAGAGACGTCACTTAGTTGGTGAGTTTTCAGTTCGCTGATGAGTTTACGGTTTAGATGTGTGCGTGTGAGTGAGTACAGGAGAAAATTAATCGTGACTTGCAGCGAACAAATTGTTGATTTAAGCCACAAAGCACAGGTAAGCAAATTAAGGTGACCAGAAAATACTTTCGTCAGAAAAGATAAGTTTTAAGCGTAATTGAATATCTTCTTCAAGAATAAGCTATAACTCAGAAGCTCGAAATTGAAAGTAGTTTTTATATTAAAACAAGTAAACAAGTCTAAGTTCGGGCGGAGCTGAATATTAAATACTCGGCGCAATTATTAAATCTGTGCACATAAGCAATAATCGCCTAAAACGTGGGCTGTAATGTTAATTCCACGCCTTCAGGATTATTATCAGCATGGTTTCCTCTATCAGCATGGTTTCCTACAAAGCACCCCCTTTGGCAAGCCTATCCTCCAAATCCAGAGGTGCCATGCACTCCGCCACACTTTTAGAGCCTGTTTGCCGATATAGAGATACACCTGCTTCACCGCCACCCTCTTTATGGCCATTACCTCCACCTGGAAAATGCTGTAGTAGTTTGACAGCTCCGCTCAAACGGCTACGGCCCCTACGCCCTTCTTAAACTTCGATCCGTCTGTATAGACATTCACCGAGCCAGCAGTCCTCATGCCCTCACGCCAGCCATCGACCTCTATAGGGGCTTAGAAGTTAGTACAAGAGTGAAGATCTGGGATGATATAGTCAATCCGTCTATGTAAAGTTGACGCTATACTACGGTGACCATAAGACCTGTCCCGTAGCATAAAGCCTATCAATAGTTTTTGACGCTATATTTTTGGCCGATAGATCCGCCGGAAAGGGAAGCCAAGGTGTGAAGTACTGCTATTGGTGTAGTCCTAAGTGCCCCTGTCATGCCGATCGTTGATAGCCTTTATACATTTTCTATTCTCTTAAGAAATGTTTTCTTCCCCATTGCTGTTCACCACACCAATACTCTATGCAAAGTGAGGAAGAAAAGGCGATAAGCCCCAGATGTATCCTAGAATCCTTTTGCCATTATAAAAATGCCAGGGAAGCCTTTTCACCCTCTTCTCTACATTGAGTCGCTACGACAGCGTACTGTTATTATTCTGGGGTACTTGGTGCTATGCTTCACCTGGAGGATCATTCCATCCATTTTAGGTTTAGATCAATTCGGAACGTTATATTTCCTGGTCTGTCTTTTCTACGTTGACACTAAGCCCCCGCTTCGGCCGCCCAAAGATGTACGCCCCGTAGTGGGCTAAGTATGGACAGATAATTTCCACTTAATATAACAGAAATATCATCCGCATATGCAGTAAGTTTGTCTCCGAACCGTTTACTAACAAACGGGGTTTCAAACAGGGCGACTCCCTTTCATGTGTGTTAATCTGATGGAGAAAATAATAAGAGTCGCAGAATTGAACCGCTCAAAAACAATTTACTGCAAGAGCGTGAAATCCAACGCATCACTCTTTCCAACAAAGGCTACTTTGGACTGACTAGGCAATTCAGAAGTAAAGTCCTCTCTCGTCGTACCACAAGCCACTCATCATGCCCGTGCTGGTATATGGCGCAGAAGCTTGGACAATGATAACACCCAATGACGCGGCTCTTGGGGTTCCCGAGAGATAGATTCTGCGGAAGATTTACAGGCCTTTTCTCGTTGCCGACGGCGAGTACCGCAGACGATTTAACGATGAGCTGTGTGAGCTTTTTACAACGATATACATAGATATAGTGCAGCGAATTAAAATTCAGTGGCTTCGTTGGTTTGTCCATGCCGTTCGAATGGATACCAACACTCCAGCCCTGAAAATATTCAACTCAGAACCCGCTGGAGGTAGCAGAGGGAGAAGGATACCCCTACTGCGATGGAAAGACCAAATGGAAGGACATCAATCGCTATGTGCTCAGTTTTGTTCTTGGTTTTTGATCAGGAGACACAAAAGTGGCTTTGTGGATGTCCTGTCTGTCGTATTACATGACCTGCGGGAAATGTTAGCCTTGTATTTGGTTATGGCAGCCAGAAGAGGCATAGGCGTAGCTTCTCCGAGAGTGCGAACATACCAGGTGCATAACCGTAAACCGTAGTAGGCTCATCAGGTCTCTTCCCCAGACAGTGTTTTACGTGGCGAGTTCCAAGCAAAGCGCACGATCTATTGTTTGCAGGTATTCAATAAGTTTGCAGGCGCACTTCATTTGGAGCAGACGCTGCAGATTTCAGTGAACCCTAACATCAGGCTCCACACGGGCTATGTATCTCACACATGAAGCTGCTTGGACACAACAAAAGGAATTCAGTATTACAGTAGTATTATTATCAGCATACCCAAAAGCTCCACTAAATCTTATTGCAATCCAGCAACAGTATCCCGACCTTAATTGCGGCAGAGTTAAGCAGATTTTTTTGAAGCAGTTGAAGCTGTTCGTCTGAGGACGGTGGTGAATGTCGTTTATTGCCTCTTTTTTTAGATAGTCAGGTCCTTCAATTCCACGATCTATATATGGATCTCGACTGTGTGTTCGTAGGGATGTCTTCTTGACACCATGGTCTTAGCAAATACTCTTGTCGCTCAAAGACATCCTGAAAAAATAAGAGGGAATGTTTAGAACGACAAAACGATAATGAGGCGTATTCTGGGTTTCGTACGAATCGAAAAGTTGAAATTTTTGAATACAAAAGAATAGGAAAATTTCATGATTTTTGATTCGTACAAAAACAAGAATACGCCCCAATGTCTAGTGATAAGGTTTAATGACTCGGCTAAAGAGCCATCACTGTTTCTATTTTTTTTTTTTTGATTGCGATGTTTAGACCACGACCGAAGGATGAAATGTACATATATATTATAATAGTTTAGCACTATTTTTTAATTGCATTTTTTTCACAACTTTGGCATTTAAGCATTTATGAATACCCTTAAAGCATATTGTAAAAGTTATTTGCATCAGAAACGGAAATGACAAGGTAAGCGAACAAAACTCGACAGCAAAGGAAAAGTGTAAAAAGCAACCCTGAAACAAACGTCAATCTTCAGTGTTGCCAAGCTTTGAATACGAAAAAAGCAACAAATTTTTTATTGGAGGGTTTAAGGGACTATTATGGACTTTATGGTAGGTATGCCGATTCAAATGAATAAATGTTTCTTGCTCGACGGTCGAATTTATTCTGTTTTCTAAGAATTCGAATATTTTCGTCCAAATGAGGCGGCGTAAACATTTTTGTTCTTATTTTCTAATTTGCAGCGGTGTCCAGCGTTGCTTAGATTTAAGCTGTTTAAATATTAAATTTTTCTTCACTTCGCTTAATTTTTTCTACAATTCCTATCAAGCGAAAATAAAAACAAAAAATTAAGTTTCATGAACTATGTGGAGGTTTAAATCTTGACTGCACTCTCTTATGATCTCATAAACTAAAGGAACGTAAAGAACTTTTCTTTCCGACCGAATTTTATTTCCCTTTTTAATGTGTCTTATTTGTGCGTATTATCCACCGGCGCATTAACTGCCTCCTCTTCAAAGCACCAAAGTCAAAGTATTCCGCGTTTTAAATAAAGAAAAGCACAAAATTTAGCACGAAAAGCACGAAGTTGGCAACAGTGCTAATCTTGTAATCATTTTCTTTGTTGTGATCCTGTTCTGATATTTCAATCTTCATTGTCCAATTGGATTTATAGAATTTAATAAACAATAATTTTTGTATAGAATTTATCATTTAACATCAAAGACATGTCTGCATCAGAACGCTTTGACATAGAAAAAGTGGCAAAAATATTCCAGGATTGTTTGCATGATAGTGATGATGTGTTACTAGATTCCTATTTGGAGGCTTATGAGGAGATCAATAAGTATTAAAACTACATTGGCGCCCAGGCGATTTTTATTTAACGTTTTTTTTCTTTAGGTTCTTCCAATTGATGGGCACGGTATTCGGATTTGTGAGTAGCGACGTGCGCAGTAAAATCGATATACTCTGTGAGTACAGGCGAAATGAATCAACTGGAGAACGTTTTGTGACTATTAAAACAATGATATCCTACGAAAAAGATGAGGAGCTTCTTAAGGATAATAGCTATGTTTCAGGCTGTCGGACGCTTCTACGATTACATAGAGGATTGGGTGAGTTGGCATTAGTACATGAAGGCAAAGTGTTTGAATGCTGGAAAGTGGCTTTGCTTATCTTAGTAGCTGCAAATTATCAAAGTAGATAAGTTGAGCATGTCTCATTTGTGTATGTAGTAAATTTAAATGTGCATAGTATCTTTTTATTTGTGATCTACGAAGTTGCTTTATTAGCACAATCGCACTGATTACTCTTTTCTCCTCTTTGTACGTTTCAGAATTTATATATGAGTTCCTTAGAAGATTGTCTGAGTTAAATGAATGTGATAAGACACATGCATGCTGCAAGAGTGCATACAACGAAACCTTAGCGAAACATCATCCGTGGGTGGTACGGAAAGGAGCTGTGGTCGCTATGTACGCTCTACCTACACAGGGTGAATTACTAAAACGCGTGTGCATGAATGTAACGCGTGCAATTGAGGTGCTACCCGAAATGCTCAAGCACACAAAATCTGTGTACGATCGTGTTGAACTTCTTTATAGTGACAACGATCTCCACGGGTTACCCTAAATAAAATTAATTTGAATTTAATTAGAGCATTCCAAATGTGAAGTTGAGGCAAATATCAGATCGTAAATGCAACATTTAGTATTTTTTCGCGACAGTATGCCTCTAAGCAACTTTTGAGCAAATAGCTACAATATAAGTACATCAAGTATTTTATTTCACTTGCGCTGATTCTTGCTTTAATAATTTTATCTTATTTAAGATTAAGGTTCAATGTTTAAACCATGATAAAAATATATATATATATATATATATATATGTTTTTATCATGGTTTAAACTAGTAAACTTCCTCTAATAGTAAAAAAAATTATGCCTTATGTATTGTATTGATGCAGTTTTTATTAAAGTGATATAGAATGATTTACAAATTAATAAGGCGCTTTCTTTTTTAATTTTTTACTTTTGTGTTTTAAGCCGCTCGAGCTACTGGTTAAAACTGGCTCATCATAAGTTGTGTTCTCCGTCGTCCAAAGGGTTACAAAGCCACTTTCACCGCCAGTCACTACGGTACCGCTCTATATATACATATATGTACATAAAAATTAGTAAAAACTAAATTCCAGTTAACTTAATAATTACCTTTTGGTCAAATATGCTTGCGCGAACAAGCTGTTTATTGGCAATAAAATCTGCCCTTGGCAGCAAATCTTTGCCTAAACGTAGCGAACGCAACACTTCACTGTAACAAAATTAATGGAATACACATCTATGTATATATGTACATTTGTATGATTCAAAAAGGCAATAATCATATATTTTGTGCATATATTTTGTATTTAATTTAGAAATTTTTCTCATTACTGCCTTCATTGTAATTTTAATTAACTTACCCATTGCCACGATTTGTACCGACAAGCAGAAACAGGTCACCGTTTTCCAAGCTATGAGCCCCGATCACATTACATTTAGTCTCGTTTATTCCTTTTGCAGCCTCGGCAATTTTTTCACGCTCAAACTTTGCCACCACATCAGCTTCATCAGCAAGGTACACATGGAAATCATGGCAGTGCGTAATGCAAGAAATAAGGTCATGTTCATAAACATTCTTATGCCTGAAAATGTCCAATAGAATTTAAAAAATATAGTGCTTGAGAAGGGACTTATAAAATTTGTGCACACCAGTTAAGCATCTGTACGCTACTTTCCGTATTAATGGTTGTTAACAGCGCATCATCCTCCGTTGCCTCTTTGAGGTTATACACATTTATTAAGCCGTCTGTTGAGCCTGAGCACATAAGATCAGGATTCGTTGCGTGAAAACATAATGCGGTTATGTCATCTTCATGACTATCAAAGTAAGCACCAAGGGGTTTGCGTTCTCGTATATCATAGAAAAACAAAAATACATTTCCTTGACTTTGGTTAGTTCCAGTGGAAAGTATACGTCCATTCGAATTGGTATCAAAGCAATTTATAGTTTTTTGCATGTGCATGCCTTTCGCAGCCCGAAAATTAGAAATACTTTGTGTAAACTCGATATCCTCTTCGAAACGCGCTTGCTCGCTTTGTGTGCGTAAATCGAAAAGGCGTACTAAACCATGACTGCTGCCAACTAATAAGCAATTGGGTGTTTCATCTAAAAACCGTACACCGCAAGTAGTCGTACGCTCATTGGTTACTGGCGCCGGTATATCGGATAATGTCGAGAGTGTTCGTTGGGCATTGATATCGAATATGTGTACTGTAGCGCTTGATAATCCAGCGGCAACACGTGTGAAGCCACTACATAGGCAAGTAGAATGCTACTAGAATAATACTGATATAAGAAAAGGCTAAGACAACTCACCTGTCGGCGGCTAAGCTAAGCACGTAGTCGTTTCTCAAAGATACTGCAGCTTCATCTGCGATTTTGCATTTAATTTGAAACAGATCGTTTACCTCTTGCAGGCTACACGTGTCCTCATCACCCGATACGTTTGTGGTATCTTCGGAGTCATCATTTGAACTGTTTTGACGGGAATCTAGTTCTTCGCCGCCTAAGGATTTAATTAGTTGGCAATTACGAACCAAATATTAAAAATTTCATTTATTTACCGCTGGAAATTAACTTTTCTTTCATTTGTTTTGATTATGTGCAATACCGATACGATCAAGGCGTATTCTACGATATTCAAGATATCAATATCGTTGTTCAACATATCCGTTAATTTATATCGATATCAGAAGTTACGATACGATATCGATACAATATTTTGTTTCGATACCTGAAATATCGGAAACTTATCTCTAGGTTGTCTGGTTTTCTGAATTCAAAATGAAATTGACTAGTTGTAAAAATTTGTCGTTCTTGAAAAACAGTTTTTGGCATTAATCACAAAAAAAAATAAAAATTCATAAAAATATCAAAACTTCATATATCAGTTTGCTACTCTCAAGAAAAACAAAAGCTTAAAAACTCTGTGTTTTGAGGTCTTCTGGGAAACCATCGCGAAAGGTGCTATTTTTACTTCGCATTTAGAAATATATACATACATATGAAAAGATATGTCTCCTTGAAAGCACTAGGTTTGCTTGTGGGGAGGGGTTAATCAAAGTGATCGAAAAGTTATTGGGTCGCCATTTTAGTTTTTCAATTTTGCAAAAAAGGGAGTTTGACCAACATTTTTTTTTTGAAAACTCTTAATTGCAGGTTTGTTATTTACCTCCATCAAACAGAGTGGAGCTGTTCAGGATATATGGCAAGTGTTCTATTGTTGTGAATTTACAAATGTTCCGAAATATGCAAATGCAAAATCATATACACAATATCCTTAACAGCCCTATTAATTCCCACAAATTAAGCATTCTCACAAATTAATAAATTTCCTTCAGTAATTTATGTTTTTTTAAATCTCCTTAAATGATCATCCCCCACATTTTCTCCATATGAACTATAATTAAATGTTTTGTTATAAATAATATCGAATAAAATAGTCACCAGACCTGCAATCAAGAGTTATTTCAAAAACCTGAAAATTAAAGGAGAATTTTTGATATCATAAAAACTTAAATTTGTATGATTTTTATGTTTTTAATAAATTATTAATTACATACATATTTTGTTGTGAAATAATATCCGAAAAATCCAAAGCAAATCGATGAATCGATCTGTGCCCACCGAAGTACTGAAAAATATCGATGTGCATTTCGATAAGCGAATCAAAGAAATACATACCTGTATCTTTCCTACTGAACATCCCTAATAGTAACGAATTCGAACAAAAAAGACGCGAGAGCTAGGGCTGCCATCCTCTTAATATTGGTAGGAAACTGAGGATATTTAGAAAAGTCGTCGAGCGTTTGACCACTGAAAGATAACGTAAGGTGCCATAGTTTTTCTACCAATTAAATCGTTATAAATAATATCAGCGGTATAATACATATGTATGTAACATCCAACATATTGCGAGTGTCGACTAGTAGTAGATAAATGACTGTTAGTCGATTATCGGTGGTATTTTCAAAGTCGTTTTCTCTTTCAATAAGTGCGTGTGAATGGTTTATAGTCACTCATCCTTCTACAAACTAACAGTCGTAGAAAAATGAGCGATAAAAAACTATTCACAGTCGCTTATTGAACGAGAAATCGACGTGCTCAATACCATGGAAAAGCGATACTCGAATAAGAGTCGTTTATCTACTACTAGTCGACATTCGCGATAGGAGTGCTAGTAAAAAATTGTAATTAAGCAAAACAAAAACATCTTTATAGTATAGCCGTGGTTGGTGTAAATTTTTTAGTTGTCTTTCGTACTGATTTACTTTATTAAATCTAATCATTTGTCAAATCAGTTGCCTACGCTTTTAGGACATCATCAATGTGGCACACACGCCGATAGCTTCTCCAAAAAACGTGTGCAGATATCAAAAGTCGCAAAAGTATGTAGTGTATTTTTTTCTTTTATACATTATTTAATAAAGTATAATAATATAAAATGAATTCACAAGCATGTTAGAAATTTGTTATCCAAAAAATTTAAGTGTACAGTTTTAGATGTTAATCGTGGCAATCTATTTGTAGGAATTCCATTTAAATTTTATAACAAAAAACCTTGAAGCAAAAGTTTCTATATGCACTATATTAGGCGCTTCTCAACAGTATTTACATGAAGTCATCATAATCTTCTGAATAGTCGTTGCCGTATTTCTGATAGACATCAATATCCTATGCCAAGAGAATATCAAATATGTAAAATAATCCAGTTACGGTACAAAAGTATAGTATATTAAATTTGTTAATACATACATCAGTTTCTGTACGCAGTGTGACTTTGACTTTTCCTTTACTAGCAGGCTTTTTCGAATTTTGTTTTTCCATTTTGAGCTTCTCTGTGTGCAAGGTTTCTACGTTAATTTTCACCTTCTTAATATCCGAGGCAGACACTGAAATGAAAATAAAATAAATGTTTAAATATCGCATAAGATGATATGTATTACATCTATTTCATACACTTACAATTCACACATATGCTACGTACTAGATCTTCAACAAATTGAGGGAAATGTGGTGACTCTTTGTATTGTGACAATTTCCAACTGAGCGTCGCGCCGAATTCCTTGAAGTCTTCTTTCGTTTGTGGATTAAAGGCGTCCAGCCCGCCACCAAGATTTGATACACCAAATGTTTCAAGTGCGCTTTTGAGGTCTGATTCTTCCTGAATTTTTTGCAACCGTAGTTTTTCTGCTAACCTTTCCTCTGGCGTTAAATTAGCTAAACGTTTCTCTTCCTCTTCTTCTGCTAGGCGCTATAGAAAAAAATATGTTAGTCAAACGTAAGCGCTAGTATAAAAAAAAAAAAAAATAATCTCAATTTTATCAGCGATACAATAAAAATTTTAAAATACATAGTATTTTATACAACATTTACATTTACTGAAATACCTCTTGTTCTGATAATTTGGCTTTCAAAGCTTTGTTTGGTTTAGTTTTTGTTGGCACTGGTGTTTTTGACTCGGACTTTTCCTCATCTTTCTTTTCTTCCTCGTCTTCCCAACTGTCCTGTATGCCAAAAATAATAATGTCATTAAACTTAAATGTATATGAATACATCCATATTTATATATATTACAAAAATGTATTAGCTATTTAGCGCTCAAATCTTAGTTAACCAAATATGAATTTTATTTATTTATTTGAATTTTATATACCACTTATGTACATACACATATTCATATATAGTAAAACTTCTTTAAAACGAATGCCAAAAATACTACTTCCTTATACAGCAAAAGGAAAAATATAGTTCTTTTACATTTTTATTGGAATGACGAATTCCCCAAAGACTTTTAGCGAGTCGTGTTGCAGTGACAGTCCTTGGACAGATATTAATCTGGTCGTTACGGTTCAATATACCCGAATGTGGGGGCATCAATTATTTTGGCTAAGTTCATTTTTCCTCTTTTCCTCGAGTGTTAGGTTATTGTTTTCTCCTTTTCAACCCTTTTTGCGTTTAAATTTAAGGCTAACCTTGATGATAAACTTCCGGGAGGAATCCCAAATTTCTTAGCAAAGTCTTTTCTGGAACTGCTTTTGCGATTAATAGCGTTTTTCCGTAGCAAAAACTGGTCAAAAAATTTCAAAATTTGCGTGTACCCTTGAACAGGGTATAACTTTATTGGTAAAGAAAACTACATTCGTTATACGGAGATTGAAAGCGATAAACTTTCAGTGACGCTACAAAAATTGTTCGCTATAAAGAAAATTTCTTTATATGGAAATTCGTTTTAAGAAGTAGAACATTCTTGAGGTGATTTCGCAATAGAGAAAACGTATAACGATATAGATATAGATATATCTATAGAGAAGTAAGACTGTGCATATCGTCGTTTAAAGTACAAATCCGCGTATCGACATTCTGCAAAATTGGGTAACCGACATTTGCGGCTAAAAATTGGATTTGCTCACACAAGCTCTTAGCGCAATCCTTATCCATTCGGTCTGAAATATACTAGCCAGAAATGCAACTGCTTTATAAAAAAAGAGAACCATTTTGAAATATGAATGCTTTTACTCTCTAAAATATAATTTATGCAACCTCACATACGCTTATTTAATTGGGTTTGCATTTCGTGGATACGCGGCTTTGTACTTTAAACGACGATATGTATGTACAGATGGGTTACATTTTTGGTTGTAAGCTTTTGCTGATTATTGTCAATACATACATGGCACAAGCATTAACATTTGCAATCAAAGCAAAACGTTTTGAAAACTGGTTGTGATTAAAATTGTGCAAAGCAAAAAAATAATTGACCACGTGGAAGTGTAAAAGTAAACTAAATTAAATGTTAGGCGTTGAACGAATATAGTGTAAAGGGCAGTTAAAATGTTAATACTGTTAGAAGGCAAATGTCTTAGTACTAAACAAAATGTGTTCCATAAAAAATGCACTATGAAGATTATTTACATTCTAAACGATATGCAATATCTACATAAATAATTCGATATTTTACCTTTACGTCTTCATCGTCATCTTCTCCTTCCCATTTGTTCACATCATTTGTGATTTTAGGACGTATGATCACCTCCTCGTCACCAGCTGCCTCTATAAAACGAAATTTTTGTATGTTAATATCGAAATGTGACTAAAATAATTGTATTTTTTGCTTGCATAATTTTTTTTTTAAGTCAACTCATTGCTGCCCTTGTGCTATAAAGTGAAATTGCTGCTGTCAATGCAGCGTTTTTGTGGCAATTTCAATGACAAAAAAGGCTTGAGTGCGCACTGTGGCAGCCACTGATGATGAATCGACAACATTCCAGAACAGCTACTTACCCCAATCGTCGGCCATTCTGTCGAATGAAACTTCGAAAATGCTGGGTTTCAACTAATATTGATTGATTTTTACAAATTTTCTTATTATTCGTATGGATTTTGTAATTTTTCCTTGTTTAGTTGAAAATTGAAAGCAAAAATGCGACAGACAAACCAAAACCGTGACAAACGTGTGCAAGATTTTCTTCTTTGTGCCATTTACGATTTACGTCAAATTCTCTTTTGTTGCTTCCCCTACATCTTTATCTTTTCCTCCGTTGCCAATTTTTTGTTTCGATTCACCAGAGTTACCATGTCTTATGTTACATACTAATAGCCCGTCTTCACCTGCTTGCAAATCTCGCTTGCGTGACGAAGCAGGCGAGATCCCGCACGTCTAGATCGCAATAAGTAGTTTACGTTCAGACAGAGAAACTTTTGACGCGGCAACTCGTTACTTGTGGGAGAGGGAGTGAAGAGGAGGGGGGAAGGGCATGAACGAAAGACACAAGATCACGTAAGAACAAGAGAGTGAAAAAAGTCGATTTTTTAGCGGGTTCTACGCCATCTTGTTTCACTGGAAAACGAGCGAAAAGTAAACAAAGCAAAGAAAACAACGAAAACCAAAATTAGCCAAAATTATTGTCAGCCACTTTAAACGCACAATTTAGGTAAAATGATGCATCAAAATGCTTTAAAATGTGTTGTCATGTTGAATTAACTCTTCTTTACTTGAATAAAAGTGTAAAATAGTGGTGCTTGTGATGTAAACAAACGCTCAGCTGACGAACCCGCTTTCGCAAACTTTTTTCTCAAAACCAGTTACAAATACAACGTCGCGTTCTTACGTGATCTTGTATTTTTGGTTCATGGGGGAAGGGCCCCGCGTTGCTCGTGCTCGAGCAACACGCTTTGTGCTCTCGTTCGTCTGAGTTATTCTGACAACAACAATTGTGTACAAAATATTTGCTCTGTGTGAACGCGAAGAGTAACATCAAAAGAGAAGTTGCCGAAAATGAGCAACAAAAGTTTTGCTGTGTGAACGCAGCCGTACGAAGCATACTTTTTCTTGCATACCGAGCGGTTTGCGAGCTCGTCCTTGCTTTCAACCGTCATTTTGTTGTTTGACATCTATTTTCTCATTTTGCAGACCTTTTCACAGAAGCAATATGGTGCTGGCAAATAGAAGTTTAGAGGCACCCATTTTATTTTATGCAGATTTTCTAATATTTTCTATCTTTTAAGAGCATGCAAGGCTTGAACCTTCTTGTTTGGCGACATTTTACAAATGAAAAAGGAAGCTGTCAAATGCCCGGCCAACAAAACTCTATCTCGCTTACGAGAAAAAAAGCAGAACGCAACCCAGTTTTTCAAGCATGTATAGACAGCGGGTAAAGATTTTTTTTTATCAGGAATAATATATACTACGTTTATACGTAGCGCTAAGTTCCCACATTGTACAAGGTATTGACAGTGCAGGTGGGAAAATCCGCGTAAAGCAACGTCTCTTTAACCATCGCTCATAAAGGAAAGCCAACCCAAAAAACGAATACGAAAAAAATGTTGATGCAAGCATTTCTATGGTTTTTACTCCATGGAAATACTCTTATTATTAGTTGAGTTCCTCAACTTTTCTGGATAAAACCTCTAAAACTGTCAAAAAGCAAAAGAAGCCAGAAGCCAGAGAACTCTGATAAATTCCTGTTCTGCGAGTTAGGGAACGCAACTATTATCATTGATGAAGTTTCTTTGATGGCAGATCCAAGGTGTATTAAACAAGGTGTGGTTGGGGCGACAGCTGAGTTTTTCGCCGTGGAGGCCATTACGTCAAAATGATGTGTTTGTTGTAACTCATACCAATGACAGTATGGACATCAGCGTATAATTTGTTAGTGTAATTTTTTACTTATATANGATCCTTCAAAATCAGCTGAGAACGGAAAAAAAAACAACAGCAGAAAAAAGAAAGACGTCAAAAAGCAAACTAAATTAAAAAAAAAAACAAATATTGGCAAAATTAATCGTGTTAATAAAATTAGAAATTTCACTTGTAGAGGAGTTAAAAATTCCGATGCACTAAAAAGGTCCTGGAGCTGCATAGAAGCATTTAATAATCGGTGCTTTAATTGGATTAAATTCAAAGGTTAGCAGAATCCAGAAGGAAAATATTTTCCATTACGAAAACCAGGTGAGTGGGTGGTTTTATGACTTCATCCACAGCTACATAAAAAATTACAAATCAGCTGCAGAATGGCTAAAGTTATTTCGCAAGAAACCTTTGATGAGGTAGTGAAGGAAAATATTGTCGACTTTTCAATGGCTCCGGACGAAGCCAAAGAAGAGACAATCAAACAATTTGAGGCACAGGTAAGTAATACACGAATTTTCAGCGAATATATTTATGTATATTATTGGAGCGTAAATGGGTGTCGTCATTTTCTACTACTCACTAAACACTGCATTATTTGGTACTAGGGAATCAATTTGGCTAACATCATAAAAGATTTGACTATAAATCCCGACTCTGGTAAGCCGGTGTTGAATGAAATTATTGATGAAATTAAAACGTATATAGGCCAAAAATCAACCGATACTAAGAAACTCCTGGATAATTTGAATGTCTTAGATACCGAATGTCAAAAGGTAATGTATTCTTATTTTCCGCTTAGCATCACTTGCTTTTCACAAACCCTTCTCAGTCTATTTCACATCGCGTTCTCGCTGGTAAAAATGGTGCCCATGAAGCGCTCGTTACGCTGCTAGAGCAGGAGCTCGCTACTCAACAATCTGCGGAAGAATTTAAACCTAATTTACCTGTATTAGAAGGCTGTCTCAAAGCTGCCAATAGTTTTACAAATAAACAACCGGATATTTTTGATGCTGAGGCACTGGCTATCATTCTTAAATTATTGGCCATCGAAAATGAAGACATTACGATTTTGACACTGCAATGGCTACAAAAGGCTAGCATAATGCATGAAATCAATCGCCAAAACATCGCAAATGCGGGCGTGATAAAAAAATTGAAGCCTTTTGTTTCGAAGCAAAGCAGCGTTAAGCTAATACGTGAAGTTCTTGCGGTTCTACGCTATTTAGTGCTGGACGACGACATACGCGTGGAATTTGGATGTGCGCATGAACATGCACGTCGCATTGCCAGCGAATATATTGTTGATTTAACAAAGTTATTAGGCGAATATAAAGATCCAAATGTTTTGGCGGATTTGATGTTAACAATCGGTGCGTTGGCTGTACGCCAAGAATTCTGCACAACAATTGAAGATGCTGGTGGACTTAAATTAGTTTTTGATATTATGGTGAGCATCCAAATATTACCTACATATGTGTATGCAAATTGTATAATCTTACAAAAAAATGTTCATTAAAATTTTTAATTATTTTAAGATCGAAAACTCAACATCTACACGTGTAAACCGTGAAGCTCTGAAATTGTTGCGGGCGTTGGGGGGAAATGATACCGTAAAGGCACATATAGTGCAACAGGGCGTAGCGCCTATTATCAAACAGGTGCTGGAAATGCATATGGTAAGTATTATGTCAAATATGAGATTCATCTATAACATTAAAACAATCTTCCACAGACCAATGAAAATGTAGTCTCTGCCGCATTGGCTTGCGTCGCAACATTGACTTTGCGGGTAAAAGATAACAGCGTTGTCTTCTTTGGCACCGGTATAGCAGAAGCAATTGTAGAAACTTTGCGCAAACATCCTAATAACAAAATTATTCAGGTAATAATGTGTCTTTAAGCATTTAGTTATTGCAATTTTCATTTTGTTTTTCTCTTAAATAGCGTAACGGTGCTTGGTCCATTCGAAATATGGTTTCTCGTTCACGAGATCAATGTGAGAGCTGGCTTTCATATGGTGTAGAAGATTTGCTGAATGCTGCAATGAGTTCTCATCCGTCCATACAACAGGATATAAAGGCCGCGCTTCGAGATTTAGGGTGTAAAGTGGAACTTCGTGAAGAATTTACCGGCGTAGCTGAGAAGAAAATTATTGGCATGTGAGAGCTAAGCAATCTGCAAGCATATATGCTGAGAAAATTATGACTTACTACATTCTTTTTATATGAGCTTGTATTACATAAAGCAACACCGCTGAAACTGCTTTCAAACCATGGCATTTGCATCTAGTAATTGAATATTTATATATATGTATTATTACAAATCAAACATCTGATTATAACATCTATTTATTTGAAAAATTTTCTACATTCATACGAAAAGCAAAAAAAAAAACGCGAATCAATTAACCTTAATAAACATAGCCTTTTATAACAAATGCCATCTTTTTTGTTGGATGCATGCGTTGCCCACAGTTAATATCTCATTATACATGTAATTTTTCCAACAAAAGTTTTCTGTACATTTCAGCCATTCCACGTCTCATTTCACTTTAACAGGGCTAAATAGCTGAATCAATAGCTCTTGGTTGGCTAAATCCTCTTGGATTATGGGCTAGAAATGCATGCCGTGCGAGTATCAAAATGCTCCCATACAATTGCAAAAGTAAAAAAAAGCTTGTTTAAGACTACAAAATAATTAAACTTAATAGCACACAATAATAAAAAAATCTCATAAATATCTAATTTACATTAATTTAAATACATGCTGGCTATAAATTAATTGCAAATGCAAGTCGGCCAGCAGACATCATTTGTTTAACTTAAAATTGCGCAGTCCACCAGCTCTTAGTCGGCTGTCCAAAGTGCTCCCAATTGGTTTGGGCTTTGTGGGAGATCCTGTACGCGTAGCACTCAGCTCAAAGTTCATGCCAAAGTGTTTGCCAGTTGCTGAGGAAGTGCTTATAGCCAAGCGAGGTTTTTTCATAATGGAATACTAAATATGAAATATTTGAGGGTAAATTAATACAATTCAAGATTTATGAGACTCTAAATTAACCTTTTCTGTGATATCACTTTGAGTTTTACGCAGCATTCCAGAACTACTGCTTATGCCATTAGCGGAAATTCCTTTCTCAGTCTTCTTCGGCGATATTTTCAATGTGGCTAATTTTGTTGTAGTATTTGCTGTACGATCTTGCTGAATTTCTTGATTACGCTTAAATAATGGCAGAAGACCTATGCTGCTTGATTTAATATTGAGATATGGCGAGTTGGAGTCTTCAATAACTTTAATATTTTCCTTCTACAAAAAGACGATATAGAAATGAATGTAAGTATAAAAGACTTATAAAGTTTGATATTTTACGAACAATTGTCGGCGACAAAGTTTGGCGTTTTTCGGGTAAGGCAATCGGCGCTGATTCAGTGCTCCGACGTCGATGATCAGTCATAAAGCTTGGCGACGCTTTTGTCTCCTGCTTTTTAATCTGGAAGAAAGTAGAGTTTCAGAGATAGAGCCTTTAGAATTGAAGCCTTTATTACTCTCTCTTGTAGCTGATAATTTTCACTTTCTAATAGTGAAATGCGTTCCTCACAAGATCTGCGAATTGAACAGAAGGCAAACATATAAACGGCAATTAAAACATATTGAAGGATTATGTTACCTTTTCGTGGCCATTTCTTGACGCAAGTTGTCCTGCATAACTTTCATTGCTCTCCTAAGATCCGTTTTCTTGGTTTCACAGGTACGTAGCTCACTATATTTGAATTAGAATAAAAAACTGTAGTCTACATATCGTCACTACCATGTCAAACTAGCGAATGTGAAAATGAGCAAATTTCAGAAGAGCAAAGAAACTGTTGTAAAAAATGTTGTTGTGTGGGATTCGACACTTTGTATTCTCTGCTTCTAATACTCGAAATTTGACGACTTGCGAATTTGCATTGCCCTCTAAATGCATGCGCAAGGTATCATAATTGTAAAAGCATTTGCGCACATTGGATAGTTTGACATGGTAGCGACGATATATACAACTGTAAGCATTCACACCTTCTTGGTTAACAGATTACCTGGTCGCAGATTGTTATTCCAGTGCGTTTTGTTGTTAGCTGCATTAAAAATTAAACCAGGTAATCAACTGAACCGATGAACCGATGTTGGTGTGAATACCTACAATATAAATAAATACTAAGGATGGCGTAAGTAAACGTCCTCACAGTGAGTATCATCCAGCAAATGTTTGCTATTTCAGCTGCATTTCCAAAAAAAAATTTCGGTAGAATGGCTTTAAAGTTTAAAGTCATTTTTTACTTTTTATATACTAACCGCTTAAGTGCCGCCACCCAAGTGCTCAAACGTAAGGGGTCCTTTTCAATTTTGAGCATTTTTTCAGCTTCAACATTTGTAGCTGCGAGTATGGACTGTACAGACTCGATTGTTTTTATTTGTTGTTTTAGCCGCTCCACCTCCTTACGGTAGTCATCGGCCATTTTTGCTTCAGTCTTGAGGATTTTCAGCTACAATCGGAAGAAAGTACCATATATGGTTATATGATTTGCAAAAACAAATGCAGTACTAACTTGCTCTGAATACGTAAGAATCGCGAAATCATTTTTCTGGATTCTAGCCTCCATCGCTTGAATTGTTTTTCTATTTAGTAAATATAAAGAACAGTTTAATTTCATGAATTTAAAATGTTAAATTTGTATAATTGAATTTACGCTGCCATTATTTGCCGGTCTTTAAGCTCCTTAATCTGCCTTTCCGCTTTGTTAAGCTCCTGTTCTTTCATTTTCAACTGCAAATTTGTGTTATCTATTTGTTCCTGCAGGGAGCCTACGTCTATTGTACTGACATCCAGATTCGCCAAATTGAAGTAAATGCGGAATACATTTCGGTCCGTACACTTGTTACGGCACTGAGGGCAGGACTTTGAACTGTTTCATGTGTATGTAAATAGAATAATTCTGTTTTCATCTAAAACTATTGGTGGAGATTGTGGCACACTTACCGCTCCATCCATTGTTTGAGACAAGTGTGGTGAAACATATGACCACAATTGGTGGCACGCACATCATCGGAGGCGACGAAGAGCTCAGCACAAATAACACAATTTAAATTGAGCATCTCGTTTGCTTACCTAAACTAAATAATCACCACTCAACAAACAAATATGTACATAAATGTAACGAAACTAGAGCGGACGATTCAGAAAAACTTTCGCAAAATAATTAACTGTTTTTTCAGACTTTCTTCCTTGCCAATTTTTCCTTTTTCCAATCTTTTATTTACAGCTGTTGCCGCCAATTTTACGTCCAAAAGGAAATGTCAAATTTAGCCAAAATTTAGATCAGAAACACAAAACAAAAACAAGAACGAATGTCAGAACAGGGATAGATCACAAAACTTCCACTGGAATGCACTACCGGACGTCACTGGAATGCACTACCGGAAGTATAGGGTGATAAACACTGGTTTCACCCGTTGCATTGTTTCGTTCTCTATGCACTTTTCCAATCAGAAACGAGAAAATGTACAAAACAAATTCAAGAAATCAGCTGTTTTTGGCAACCCAGTACCGGAAGTACAGGGTAACTGTAAACATTTATGAGATGGCACTACCGGAAATTGCTGCAAAACGTTTGTTCAGTTTAACGTTAAACATTAAACGTTAAACCAGTACGATTTGCACATTCACGAAACGAAAAGCGGAAGTAACGGAAAATTCGTATGCAGTAAAAGGGGAAATCAGTGTGCATACAGTTTGCAACATGAGGATGCCACAAAAACATAGTCCTTGGCGGCCGGCCGCCTCCCATCGATATGAGTGAATTTCCACTATCGCGCGAAATTAGAACCACACTGGCGCAACTCAGCTCTGGCTGGTGCAGTTGCCTAAACTCATACAGAACCAGATTAGAACCGGAGATCGCTGATCACCTGGCCAGAATGCGGAACCGGTCCGCACAACAACGCACACCTTTTCGCATGTCCTACATATCCTACCCGTCTGAAACCCGAGGCGCTGTGGATTCAACATATTGGGGACCGCCCGCTTCCTGGGCCTAAGGTTTGAGCAGTCAGATGGAGAATATGAATAAACAACCAACCAATTCGGGGACCATGTGATGCCACAACAACAATAACATAATGAACTTGATTATTTTCATACATATATTTATTTTTTTTAATCAGGAGGGTTTTCGAACTGGCTGCCGAGATAGGTCGATCTTCCACTCAGCCATCGAGGGCCCTATCTGACATATATTCATCAATCTATCTGAATAAGAGTTACTCACAAAAAATACAACTGAATATTTTTTTACATTAAATCTTTATTGTTTGCTTTATTTATTTTTTATTAATGCATTTTTTAGGCTTTCTTCGTAAATATTTTATTTTTTGGTCATACAATACAATTTATTTACTTATATGTTATAACATTTGGTTCACAATTTTTAATTTTATTTAATGCCAATTTTACTCTATTAAATATGGGTACAATTTACAGTCTGCGACATGTGTTGAACAAACATACATATAAATAAGTATTTATTTATTAACGTGGTATTTATGTATTTGTGTAGTTATATATTTACTATGTATGTATGCATGTGCATACTTACATATATTAGGTATGCATGCATATACGAATATATGCACATTAGGGTGGTTCAAAAATGCATCTGAAAAAGTAAAGTCGGAATTTTAATGTTCTCACCCCCTACGATTGTTCTATTTCGAAAAAAATTTACTTCTATTTTTTTATTTTGAAAACAAATAATTTTTAGAGGTCGCTCCAAACGCTTAAAATTTTCCACATATTTTATATGGACAAAAACAAATAGGTCCCCAATTGCATTATTTGAGGTTTTTAGGGGTCCTATAAAAATTAGTTAATGATAGAAAATAGATAATAAACAATTAGGTAGTTTTGTTGGAAGTCTCCTGAAGAGAAACGAAGTTTTCCGTTCTAAAAATATTGATTTTCAAGAATTACAAACCTTTTTTTTGGACCACCATAATGTACATGTCTATTTATAACGGATTTTTATGCATATTTGTAGTTTGAAAGCTATAAAAGGTTGTACGTAAAGTACGAATGAATGTTTGAAAATACAAATCTATGAATATATTAGGCTTAATTTACTTAGTTTGGGTTGTATATTAATACATTCATATATACAACGTGGGTATTCACACTTGGTTGGTTATCGGGCTAGTAGTTGAGTAAACAGAAGAATACAGCTTTATGCGGCACATCCAATGACCAACGATTCTTACCGAGTGAGAACCTGACCTTGAAATCGTTCAATTTACTTTGAGATAGTTTAAATTAAAATTTTCAGACAACTAGAGTAGAACAACGAGACAGTGTGCTTGAAA